TGAGAAAGAGTTAACATATAGCAAGCAAACCGTAACCTGAAAAAAAGAAACTCTTTCCTTTTGTGTGCCAGATTTTATCTTTATATTTCGATTTGTTGCCGGACTGTTCTGTCTCTTGCCATTTTTGTCGCGTCGCAATCCGGCATCTAGAACTCTACTAAATACTCTGATCGCGCAAATATCGATCCCCGACTAGTATTTATAATTGGAGATGACGTGGTAAATAAAAATATGATATAAAGAGTGACAACTATACGAGGTTGGTGTACACAGAATTATAATGAATACAGTTTAGTATTCAGTTTAGAATTATAATGAATACAGTTTAGTATTTAGTATTCACTATTTTGCATGGTTATTCCAATTAGAGCTTTAATTGCAACAAATATAAAATAACTTATCGAACTGTATACATTAATTCTATATACAGTACTCGTATAATTGTCGCTTTAGTTGCCATCACCACGTCTTTTCCGTGCCATTCAGTCGTCATTTATTTCATAGTTGTCGTCAGCATATCTTTTTCTCTGAGTGTAGTTCTCGGTGCACCGGACGCACGTGGATCGATCGAAAGATAGACATCAGGATCAGTGAACTATGCGTCGCGATAACGAATCAGGTATCTGCGGCCTTCACGCGCCGTTATTAAACGTAAGCCGGGCGCAACTGTGTGCGTCGAAGTAACACAGCACGGCCAAGAAATGTCGCAGTTCTAGAGACTCGATCATTTCGCTTCCACTTGATTCCACGCCGCCTTTCGAGCCTCGCGCTTTTCGCCACTTTGTGCAAAGCGCTCGCAATTAATACAAACGCATCGCGCGCAGCAAACCGCGACGCGTAAACACTTAATCACTCGAGTATTCATCGAGAACACACTCGGCTTAGAAGGGGAAAAAATATTGAATCACGATCGAGAGGCGGCGTGAACGTCGAAGGTGCGCATAGCGATTATCCTCGTTCGATGTCGATGAACCACTTGACGCGGATTCCGGCTCCGAAGGACGCGAGATCGCCGATCCGCGACGAACTTCACGTACAAATCGGCCGATATATCGGCGCGGCACGCTCGGTTTGCATACCCGTTTGTTTCCCCTCTCCCTCTCTCTCTCTCTCTCTCTCTCTCTCTCTCTCTCTCTCTCTCTCTCTCTCTCTCTCT